TGAATATTCTATTAATTAATTTTAAAAAAAGTGAATTACATTAATTACATTTGTGAAAGTCTTTAAGACAAAGCCACGCTAATTATCTAGTTTAATTTGGAATATGGATGTAGTCCAACTGAAAAATAATTTATATATATTTAGGACCTATTTGGATACACATCTAGATTCAACTTTGGGTCTATCACACCCTAAAAATAGTGGGCGATCGGCACGAGTGTGAACCATATGACATATCCCCATAAGCCTTAATTTGAACGTTCAATCCATTTCCAAAATATAATTAGACTTATATTAAAATTTTAACAATCTTGTTATTAATCATTAATATAAAAACTATAGCATTTTTGTAGAAATTTCGACAAAACCTTCTCTATAAATAGAATCTCCTAAAAATTTAATAGTACAAGAATGTTTACAAATTATCATATCAATCATGAGCTTAGCTCCTTCCGGTCAGCAAATAACACACACACACACACACACACACACACACACACATATCTCTCTCTATGTGTTTCAAAATAAGTATATAGGCATTTATAATTACATAAAAGAGACAACTTTCAATTAATTTTCCACCCAGCACGTCTAAAGGTCCTTAGGGGTTGGCAAGAGAATTAACGTCAACTAAGCTATCTGAGACCAATAATAATTTTTTAGTAAATAACTTCCCAACAATAAATAATAAAACATGAATAAAAAGAAAAGTTTAAAATAATTGTGAGTTAAAGGGACAACAACTTTCATAAAAATTTAATAAACTTCAAAATAGAATGGTTCTATAAAATTTTAAAATTAAATCTTAAATTATTGAACTATCATGACAAATGTAATATGACTTGATTCCAAAAAAGCACAGAAATGAAATAAATATTTATAAATAAATCACTAAATAAAATTAAGGGATATAAAATCATCAAATAATAAAATTTATAATTTTAGGGACTTATCAGAATAATTAACAAACGTGGACACACAGTCCACGATGGTAAATAACCAAACACGACTTATGCCACGAAACAAACATGGACGCACAATCCATAAGGGTAAGTAACCAAAAATAGCGAAAGCCATGAAACAAATATGGACACACAGTCTATGAGGGTAATGCTAACCAAACGTAGCTTAAAGCCATGAAAACAAACGCAAGTACAAGACTTACAAATAACAAATGTGAGAACAAAGCTCATAAAAATTAAACTAGCTAGTCATTAACTAAGGCATCAAGGGCTAACAGAACTATCATTAACAGCTAGTGTTCTGTATAAAGTTTCCTTCAAATTTATTTTCAAACATGCAAGAAATCATCACTTTCAAAATAAAATTTTCATTTTCAATGTTAAACTCACATGAATTATTTTTCTGTAGCAATTCAATAATTTTCAAAATGAAAACCCATAATTAGAATCCAAACTTGTATTTATTGAGTAACTAACATTTTAAATTTGATAAAGCTAATTTTCTAAAATAAAGTAATTTTCATCAATAAAATTTCCAACAATCATGTTATTACTATTAATATGATTTGCAAAAAAAAAGGAAAAATTCTAGTACGAAAAATTTTAATTAGAAAAATCAATCGGAACGCTATCCACTTACCTGAAATTTTCAGAATTCAATAATTCACCTCTCCATGACAATTAAAGTTCTCATCCTCCAAATCTCCTATAAATTAATTTAAGATGTTTAAATAAACTATATATAATTTCAATTACTTCCTCCCAACATCTCTACTATCAAAATTTTGCTATAGTAAATTTGAAATTTTAAGAGTAAACTTTACACATAAAGATCTCCCAAAAGCCCTAGCTCAATACTTCATTAAAATACCATCTTTCCTTAATCTTTTTGTCAAACACCAACCATGTATTATTTCCAACCTACTCATAAGGTCTTTTTAAAATTCCAATCTCTTATCACAAAATTTATCCACAACCGTATCTTACCAAATATTCAAATAGTTTGATACACTCAAATTTCCTTTGAAATCTTTAACTTAATTCATAGTGCAATAATACTCAGTTTAAACATATCAAACACCTTACATACACTAATTTAATTTTTAATTATTTTAAGCTCAAACTAAATTCTTCCTCTTTGATTGCATCTTCCAAAATTCTTTAATATAGAAATAAATAAGTCAATCAGTTTCTTAAGTTCAATTTCTTCATTGAATAAATCAATCTTAACTTCAAAAAATTAAATCATCATCTTCCCTATTTCACATAGCAATACTAAATCAGAAAATTTAGCTCCAATCTTAACCTCTTTCCTTCTCACACAGTCACGACAACAGCCCCAAAGGGAGAAATTGCAATTTCAATCATCCATATTTAAAACAACTCGACTTTCCAAATTGTAGTGCTTCAACATAGTTAAATTTTTCTATACCCAAAAATCAAATCCCAACTCGTTCACGGTTAGCAGAAGAAGAAAGTAAATCTTCTTTTCCACTTTATTTCACCATTCTGACCCTGAACTACACACACATAGCAAAGAAAAGAGAGTGAAGCTTCTCACCTTAGGCAGTCGATGATACACGCAGAGGGAAGAGGAAAAACAGAACCTTCATCTGAATAGGGGAAGAAGAAAGTAGCATTAAATTATTCTCCAACTCACGAATCTGTTCTTCTACAATGTCGAGTCAGCTCTGCACTTACTCAACATTCACGAACAGAAATAATGGAGGAAGAATGACGTTCAGCCATGAGAAACGAAGCAGAAAGGAGCTACGAGCATACGGACCAGCACCAGTAACATGCACAGTGGCTTGGCTCCCTCATCAGCGATAGGAAAGAATGAAGAAGGAAGAGAAGAGATCGAAGATGGTAGAAGGAGATGGAGGTCAGATCGCAAATCGATTCCAAAACTTTCTCTCCCTCCCCCATTATCAAAGCCCCCCGTCCGAAATAAGAAAGAGAAGAAACAAAAAAAAATCTGATAAGGGAGGGGTATATTGGTAATTTCACAAGGCTGAAATGAAAAAGATCAACTTCCTTTTTATGTTTCAACAAATTCGAACTCTGGATCCAAGGGAGGAATTATTCGTGCAGTTCCAGTGTGCTAACACTTATTATTGTTAATTAAATAAATTCTTTTATTTCTAATTTAAAATTACAACTTTATAGATAATATTTATAAATGATAAAAATACATAGAATAAAAAAAGATTACAGTATTCTCATAATGAACTGAGCAAGATTAGTGTTTTTACAATAAATTTCTAGCCAACCTTCTTGTAAAAAATCTTTTCTTAACATCAAGTATGTTGGTACTGGATAAAAAAAAGATGGTAACTCCAACAATTTCTTTGAATAGGCTAGGTATTCACCTTTTCAATATCTCAAAATCTCAAATAAATGATGGGTTCTATTTGCCGACTAAAGTAAGTGTACACTCGAATCGTACCAAACCCTTTGTCAGGCTATTGTTCTCTTGTTTTGTTCCCTAAAAGTCATGGAGTAAGACATCAATTTTATTATGTGTTTATTTTTATTTTATTTATCTAGGTCATTATAGGGTCCAAAACCATAATTTTGGAAAATCTTATCCAAACACCCCCAATTTTCCCAAGTTGCATTTACTATTTTTTTCCTCTACATTTGAGAATTAATTCTCAGCATTTAAGCATTTTTCATTCCCCACCTCCATCTTTATATGTAATTGATTACGAGAAATTATCCAAACATCTTCAACTATCAAAATAAATTTCAGAAAATATTATCCAAACATCATGTTTTGTTAATCAATTTTTTCCATTTGAAATCCAAACACAATAATGATATTTTGATTTAACTCTTATGATTTTTATTTATAATTATATTTTGATTTATTTTTAAAATTATAATTATCTCTTTTATACTTCATGTATATGTAATTTTATGCTTAGTCAGCATAATATATATCTAATGCTAAAACTAGATAGATTGAGAAGTGAAGATTAATCTTGGATCTAGAACGTAGAGACAATAATTGAACTAGACATAGATATAAGAATTTGTGGTGACTTAAGTGTATAATTTCATGGTTTGATTATAATTTTGGGTTTCAGGCTGAATTCAGTCATAATTAAATAGAGACTAATTAGCCAAGAGGTAATTAGGATATTTTAGAAATAATTATCACTATAATTAATAAAGAGTCAATTTAAATGGTAAAAAATATTGAGTGAATCCTAAATCCCAATGCTTGAATAAATTGATTGAAACAACTTTATATACTTATTAGTGATTTTTATTATTTATCATTTTCTTTTTCAAATATTTTTCTCATATTTCTCGCTATTTTTTGAATTAAAATTTATTTAAAATAAGAACAACATTCATTCATAGTGGTTTGACACTTGAAATAATCAAACAAATATTTTTTTTATGGAAAGTAATTGTTCGAGTTATTATTGAAAGCAATGGATAGACTTCTTCCAAGTAATTTATTATTATCATATCATATGCTAGCAAGAGTAATTATCCTCAAATTAAAATCAATTTATCTTAATTATCTTTGATAATTGTCCTTATATAATCTCGCTTTCTTGATAATACAATTAGAAAGCATGTGTCGAAAAGAAGAATTCAATGTTATTGACTTTTCTTAAGTGTGGTACATTTTGGATTAATACTTTCAAAAATAAGTTAGTAAATGTTAACCTTTTAAGAAAATTGTACATTTTTTAATTATACTCTCATGAAATGCTTTCTATGAGCTAGTATACTATCATTTTCGCTTCATTGATTAAAAAAACAAGTCTTAAGTGGCGTGCAGCCGTAAGCACAGTCCTCATGTGGATGTGGTTTGTCTAATTAAAACTTTAAAACGATGATGATGATCACTCTATTGACTAAATGGATACAAAATTTCAACAAGCTTAGCTTGAAAGTCTTGAATTCATCGTCAAAATTGGCAACTGCAAAACGACAAATTAATTATATGGAACGTGTGTTCATAATTCATTTATTATATCGGGGCAACTAGCTGGTGATGATATAAATAATTCATTAAACAGCTTCCTTCTTCATCCCCAACACTTCACTCCAAAACTCCACAGATTAAGTTAGAAACATAACATCAATGGGAAGCAACGTGGAAGCAGGAAAAGGGAAGGTGGTGTGCGTGACAGGTGCTTCTGGTTTCATTGCTTCATGGCTCGTCAAGCTTCTTCTCCTTTGTGGCTATTCTGTCAGAGCCACTGTTCGTGACCTAAGTTAGTTTCTTCATTATTCTTCACTGATAACTAACCTTCTTCGATCTTCCCCTTGCAATCACCACTACTTGAGTGTTTCATTTTAATTTGTCCTTTGTATTATTATTTGCTGCAACTCAATATTATTGATCTCTTCAAACACGTTTAGTTAGTTTCCAAATTAATCTGTGTGTGTGTAACTTTGTAATGTGCAGATGATTGGAGCAAGACTGAGCACTTGCTGAAACTGGAAGGAGCAAAGGAGAGATTGAATCTGATAAAGGCAAATTTATTGGAAGAAGGTTCCTTTGATTCTGCTGTCGAGGGCTGTCATGGTGTCTTTCACACTGCATCTCCTGTTGTCTATGGCGTCAAAGACCCTCAGGTTCATATCAGTCAAAGTTATTGGCGAAATGAAATATAACAGTCGAAATAACCATTATTAACTACTACGCTCCCTCCTTTTTCCTTTTTTAATATATCTTTAAATTTTGAAAAAAAAATATAAGTTTTAAGTTATACCGTGTAGTTTCTAAACTTGTTTTCAATTATTGATTCAATCTTTATATTATTACTCGAAAAAACTTAGCCGTTATCATTTCTTGACTTGAAATAACTCAACCTTGTAGTTTTGTCATTGAGTACAACTCACTCCCTTTAATTTCTTATATCAACAAGCTACAAGGATTGAGTTAGATTGAGTTAAAGTAGTTTAAAGACTAAATTGATAATTGAGAAAAATTTCAAAAATTGAAAGTTATGTTATCTTTTCACTTTTAAATTTTTTTATTTAATTTCTCAATCATTTTAAAATCTTAAGAAAATTATTACTATTTATTCAATTACAAACCCTTATCTTCACTAATTTTAAAATCCATGGTTGTTTTAATCATAACAATAAATTAAGTACATCATAGCAAGTTAACAGGAGCTGGGATATATATCTAAATCATATTTCTCAATTTGTGTGTAAAACATTAAAAAAAACGAATAAAAGGAAATGGATATTAGATAGTGTATACTATCTTAAGTGATAAGCCATATATGAGATTTTAGGAAATTTTCATAAATCAAAGACTTGACAATTAATAATTATAATTTATAAGTCTAATTAAGACTCTTCCTCTCTTTTTTAATATTTCAGACTGAACTCATTGATCCAGCAGTTAAGGGGACTCTAAATGTTCTCAAATCATGCTCAAAGACATCATCAACGAAACGAGTTGTTTTAACCTCTTCTATGGCTGCAGTTTTATGCAACGGAAAGACTTTAAGTCCTGAAGTTATAATTGATGAGACATGGTTTTCAGATCCAGATATTTGCAAGGGATATGGGGTATGCAGTATTACTGCACTAATTCGCTAAATTAACACTGAGATGAAGTTAATTAGTAATTAATATATAATAATACATTATATAACCTCTTCAGCCATGCTAATTAGTGTATTGAATGCCATAGAGTTTTTATTGCCCGTAATAGTATATAATGCTAAGGAGATTGGGAGATCACAAGTTTTTAGTCAGTTGTTCAGCTGTTCATTTTTTTAACATGAGTTGTTCATACACATAGTTTCACTCGGAATAATAAAGTTATTTCAATTAGCTCATTAATTTCATTTCAATCCCTCACATATGTGGTGAAATTTCAGAATTTTAAGAGCTTTAATTGAAGTTAAGTTGGGATGTAGGATCCTGCTCAAATTTTTCCTATATATATTGACTAAAGCCAATTCCAAGTTAAATGAGGCAAGAGAAAGAGAAAGTTAGAATCCACTTATGTGGAGAGATTAATCAAGAGTTGTTTATGTATAGTGTATTTGTAATGTATATTATTCTTTTCTGTTCACTTATAGGATATTAATAATTACTTCATGAATTTTTCAAAATAGTTATTATTCAAAAGCTTAATTTTTTAAAAAATATATATATTTTTAATTATACTCTCATTAAATGTCATATGTAATGACATTTGAAATTTAAATAAATTAAAAAATAATAATAATGAATGAAGTAACAGTATATATAGTTAATTATAAAAACTACTTGATATCCTATATTTTGGACCAAATAGGATTTTTCAAAAATGCTCTATGTTGCATAGACTAGATGAGGGAGTATTTTATCATGCCCTTTGAATATCATGGTTTATAATTTGATCTTTCAGGAACATTGGTCAGGGTATCTACTTTCTAAGACTTTGGCTGAAAAAGCTGCTTGGAAATTTACAAAAGAAAACAACATTGACATGGTTGTTCTCAATCCAGCCATGGTGATAGGACCTATCTTGCAACCAACGCTGAACTCATCTATTGATGCAATTTTAATTCTATTAAAAGGTAATTTTAATTTAGTTATACCTTTAGAGAACCTCTTTTGGTATGTCTTTAATTATTTTAAATATATAAGAGATAAAGAAAAATGAAACTTTGAAATCATATGAGAAGAGGGTTGTGTTAGGTCATCAACAAACAACGTAAAACTTTGTTAAATCTAACATAAAGGACAATAGATGTTTTTATGGTAAGGCTAGGTCGTTGCCCATAAATAACACACTGCATGGCTTAAGTATATTGACAAGTGAGTTAGAGTCGCTACATTGTTATCCGGATGTAGTGTTAAATGATCAAGGTCTACCATGCTATTCTGGACGAGCGTGGCTAAAGAAGTTATCCATGTGAGCAAGATTAAATTTGGTACGTGAAATGTTAGAACCTTGAATTGTAAATCCATGAAGGTAGTATGAGTTATGATTCATAGAAAAAGTAATATTTTGTACTTGCAAGAAACTAATTGGTGTGGTGAAGAAGCTAAGGATATTTAAAGTTTCAAGCTTTGATATATAGGAAATGTAAACACACATAATGATGTGGGTATCATTATTGATAAGGAGTGAAAGAAAAACATAGTAGAAGTCAGCAAAATTGGAGGTTGAATAATTTCCTTAAAAATGATAGTTGGATGTGAGACAATCAATGTTATTAATGCGTATGCACCTCAAGCAAGGGTAGAAGCCAATCTTAAAGAATTATTTTAGGAGGACTTAGAGTGGTTGGTTTAACACATACCGAAAAGTTAAAAGATTTTTATTAGAGGAGACTTTAATGGTAATGTCATGAGGGAGGGAGGTCATTATGCTTTTGGTTTTAGGGAGCTAAACAATGAAGAACAATCTCTTCCTAATTTCTCTTTAGCGTATAATTTTAAGATTTCCAACACTTGTTTAAAGAAGAGGGATGAGCACCTCATCACTTACAAAAGTGGGGCATCAAGGTCACAAATTAATTTCCTTTTGGTAAGAAATACAGATAGAGGACTTTATACAAATTGTAAAGTGATTCCTAAGAATGCTATAACAACACAATACAACAGTGTGGAAATGAAAAATCTAGTAACTTGGAGGATTTAGTAACCCATAACAGGAAACAAAATTTGTCATTCTATAAAGGATACACAATAGTGAGGTAAAGGAAGCTTTTAAGAAAATGGCAAATAGTAGAGCCAATAGAAGTAATTGTATCCCTATTGAAGTGTAAAAATATTTAGGTGAAGAAGAGGTGTGGTGGTTAACTAAATTATTTAATGAGATATTACAGTTTAAGAAAATGCCTGACGATTAGAGGAGAAGCACATTAGTTCTATTTACAAAAAAAAAAGAGGGATATTTAGAATGATGCTAACTACAGAGGGATTAAACTTATGAGTAATATACAATGTAATTGTGGGAAAGAGTAATTGAGCATAGATTAAGATTGAAGATTGGTATTTTTTAGAATCAATTTGGCTTCATGCTAGGAAGGGCGATTATAAAGGCAATTTATCTACTGAGGAGATTAATGAAAAAGTATAGTTGCAAAGGTAAAGATTTATACATGGTTTTCATTAATTAGCTTATGACCGTATAACGAGATAAGTACATTAGAAAGCCTTGGAAAAAAAAAAGGAGTACGAGTTGCCTATATTATAGCTATACAAGATATGTATGAGGAGGTAACAACTATTATAAGAATATCTAGTAGAGAAAGAAATCATTTTCCTATAAGGAATGGACTATATCATGAATCAATTTTGAGTCCTTATTTGTTTAACCTTATTCTAGATGTTTTAACTGAGCATATTCAAAAAAAAATCCCCAAATGCACGCTTTTCACAGATGATATAGTTCTTATAGTAAAGATAAGAGAAGAGGTCAACTATAAACTTGAGTTATTGAGGAGGAAGTTAAAGTCAAAAGGTTTTTGTCTGATTAAAAATAAGACAAAATATTTTTATTGTAATTTTGACAAGAATTTAGTCAATATTAATTTGAAAGTGAACTTGAGAGATCAAATTATGCCTCAAATTAAAAAGTTTAGATATTTCGGACCAATTATTCAAAATGATAGGGAAATTGAGAATATTGCATATAAGATACAAGCTGGGTGGTTTAATAGGCAAAAAGCGAAAGGATTTATTTATGATTTTAAGATATCAAATAAACTTAAAGAGAAGTTTTATCACATTGTTATAAAACTAACTTTATTATATAGTAGTGCATGTCAGCCTTTAACGAGACAGTAAGAGCATAAAGCTAAAGTGGCAAAGGTGAGAATGTTGAGATGAAAGTGTGGACAAACATGTAAATATAAAATCTAAAATGAGAACATACGAGAAAAAGCAGTAGTACCTATTAAGGAAAAAATGGTAAAAAATCATTTAAGATAGTTTAGACATGTACAAAGAAGACTGTGAAAGGCGCCAGTAAGAAGCATGAAATAGATAACTTAAGCCTTGTTAAGAGAGGTAGAAAAAGGCTAAAGAGAACACTTTTAAAAATTGTTGACCGAGACCTCTTAGTTAACAACATTTCTAAAAGCTTAATAAATAATATGGCACAATGACATCATGTAATCCATAGCTGACCCCATCTAATAAGATAAAAGCTTATTGTTGTTGTTATTGTGAAATCATATAAGAAGAGAATAATATAATGTTAGTTAAAAATAATCACTTTTAAGTTTTAACTGGATTATTTGTGATTTTTAACGGAGATCCCTTTTTTAAAGTGAATTTTGATCTGTTTTAATCAGTCTTAACTATTTTTTTGGGTAAAAGTTTCAAAATGTCATTTTTCCTTGTATAATCCTCTCCCCCCCCCCCCCTTCAATGACATTGAAATTATTCCTTGTATGGATGGGAAGCTTTTGAAACAATACACTGTGATGAAGGACAAGGATGGAAGAAAATTAAAGGGAGAAGGGAATGAGAATATAGAGAGAAATGGAGGAATAAAAGGGCAAAGTGTGAAGGAAAAAGGAGAGAGGAATTGGCTGGGAAAGAAGAATGAGATACAACAAGCAGATAATAATAATTTTGAACATTCAAATCTTTAAGTAAAAGAAAGTAACCTAGCTATAGCTATTTATATAGAAAGCCTCAAAAAGTAAAATAATTTAGTTTAAAAGAAGCATGACAAAACAAGATAAAAGGAAGCTTAATAAAAGAAACAAAATAAAGTCACAAAAAGCATTACTAAAACCATAAACTAGCTAGCTTATCTAAAAATAAGTTTGGGTTCAATTTGTATCCGCATCCCTTCATTGTTGGAAAAGCTAGTTACCATATATTTCCCTCCCTCTTGGAAGAATACCAATATAAAAGACTCCTAAAAATATTTAATATCCAACGATGACTTGAACAGATTGAATACTTGTTAAAACAATCTCTTCACTTAGCTTATTAATTGTTAATATTTATATGTTAGAAATCCTTATCAGATATTAATTAATTCTTTCAGTGATCCTTTCTTGATATTCTCCCTCATCTTTTCTTTTTTAATTCTGCACCATCTATAAAAGGGAAAGTTGTAAGTTACGAAGTAGTGAGAATGAATGTATGTATATTATAATATTACACACACGCCCCATAAAAAGGGAAACCTTTTTAAACCCTACCTTGATATAGGCACACACACATTTCCAAATAGGACTTTTGGATGGATCAACGTGAAAGATGTTGCAAATGCTCATATTCAAGCATTTGAAATTCCTTCAGCTAGTGGAAGATATTGTTTGGCCGAGTCAGTGAAACACTACTCAGAAATCGTGAAGATTTTGCATGAATTGTACCCAACGTTACAACTTCCTGACAAGTAAGTCCAGTTTTATTTTATTATTTCTAGAATGCATATGTATAAGAAGATATATTAGTTGCTTATTTTTACTTCAATTTTTTTTTTTGTAAACATCATCTCTTTCCTTAGCTAAAATGTTAATTATGAAATTAATTATATTCCATTTTTCTACTTTAATGATTACCTCTACTATGGGGTAGTGTGTGTGTGTCATATCATATAAGATGACGTTATCCATTCAACCACACATGCATGTAATACAGTAATCATGGGAGATTTTTCACTTTATTTATGTATGAATAAATTTATTAATTAAAAATCTCTGTACATCGTAACTGAGTATCATCTACTGTTCATCTTGTTCTTTCTCTATATAGAAATCTGAGAGTGATATACAACGATGTTTGAGACTTGAGAGTGTGTGCGCGTGTAAGAGAGAGGGAGTGCATGTGTGGGGTTTTGGCTAAGTACTGTTAGAAGACTTGCAAAGGACTAGTCTTTTGCATCCCACAAGAGTGTCATGATGAGTCTGTATCGTATTATCTATATGGTAACTTTACCAATATGTAATATGTGAGTATTTCAGTGAGCAGGTTTTTTAATTTAGCCTAACTCGCAGAAACTTTATTACACCAAAATGAAGGAAAAAAATTAGAAGACACTTTTTTATTAAAAAAAAGACTTTGTGAATTGAAAATGTTTTAGTTATATGGTTATGATTTAAAAATTGATCAATATAAGAGAAATGAGATTGTGCATTATGAGGTCAATTTTTTCTTCTTTAATTACCCTCGTTCTTTCTGCTTTTTCTGTCTTTTCTGTTTGTATTTTAGCCAGTCAATATTGCAGCAGCCTTATAAGATCAATATTTCTTTTAGCTTTCATAGAAAAGGGTTCATGCATGGATATTTATAGTTTCTAGAGATTCTATTGCCTTAAATTTCTTGGTTATGAATTGATCTTAACGCTTCATCAAATCATATTTGATCACTCTCCCTTTGGAATATGCGTACATACTTATCCAATTTAAGTTTTTGTCTACGACGATAATTGCTAGCTAATACCATTTCTTACTTTCCTAAACTTAAAAGGTGTGAAGATGATGAGACCTTCATGCCAACATTATATCAAATTTCTAAGGAAAAGGCAAAAATGCTGGGAATGGAGTTCATTCCATTCGAAGTGAGTCTCAAAGAAACTGTGGAAAGTTTCAAAGAAAAGAAATTTGTTGACTTTTAAATCGTGATGTATGTATGTATGAAGCCATGTTATCTGTGTGGGATGACTATTAATAACCCTGCACAATCATGATTCTATATAAGGACTAGATGATGTTTTCAGTATGCTTTTGATTTGAGAATACATTATTAATTGTAATAGGATTAATAGGAATTTTTGCCTTAAACTATCTAATAAAAAGCAAAGATCATCTTAAATTATTTATTATTGAGCAATAACACTCCTGAACTAACATATCGTATTGTTAACCATTAATTCCCACTACTATATATATATATATATATATAAGCCTACAAGAGCACAAATTTTTGCCATATGAGAGTGCTTTGAAAGCGCTCCCTATCTAAGCACTCTCATATGTTCGGAATTCTTCCAAAATGCTCTAGTAGGTGAGGCCTATTGTGGGGAAGCCAGGAGGAGAGCTTCCTTACAAAAGCACTCTTGTTGCCTTCCTTAATCAGAGTGGTATTTCCTTTCTTGAACTTATACTTCATAAAATTTCTGCTATATATTCATCGTCACATCCTCGTTGCTTCTTCATTGTCGTCACAGTGGCCAAATCTCCCAACCTCCTCATAGTTTAAGAATAGGAAAGCCTAGAAAAATGTGAGTTTTTTTTTTCTAAAGAATCTCACTTAGGACCCCTAAAACATAAAAATTTGCATTTAGAGCCCAATATAATATGAAAATGTACTAAAGCCCAAGGTCTCTTCTTCCAAATTTTGTTATGGATGAAAAAACATAGTTGTCCTTGTTTCAATAGAATATCCCTACATGCACAACACAATATTCACAAATCCTCAATATGATTTTCATGAATGCACAACATATCTAGTAGAGATTAACTTAAAGTATGTTATTTCAATGAAAATATGTAGCTCATTATAAATTTTATGTTGTACAAATGTTGCAAGTCTATATATATTCACTGTGTTGAGAATTGATGGATATTGTATTATGTATTCATAAATATTGTGTTATTCAACCATAGCTTGCTTGTACATTAAACTATATCCCCTAGATATGTTGTACATTCATAAACATTCACTATAAAAAAATTGACCTCTAGCATTTGTCACCACTAAAAGCTAAAAAGTCACTTTCAGCGACAATAAAAAATTACCACAATATCGCTGCGAGAGTTCTTGTCGCTAATTCAATCTGCGGCAATAATAAAAATCACCACTAAAAGTTGAAAATTGGCGGCGACAAATGTTGTCGCAAAATAGAAAATTTGTCGCTACCAAAAAATAGTCACCATTGAAAATTGAAAATCAACGGCAATATTTTCTCACTGCAAAAACCATACATTAACAGCAACTATTTTGTCACCACTGAATGTTAAGTATTAGAGGCGACATTTGTCACCACAGAAACTACTAATCAGCAGCAATTTTTTTGTCGCCGCTAAAAAGTAATGTTGGTTCACTTACACACATGGTGCCACGTTACCATCCACGTGGCGCCCCACCTCACGCCACGTCACCCTCCACATAGGGCTTTACCTTGCACCATATGGCGCCATGTCACCTTCAACATGCCACCCCCATTTTACACCACGTGGCGCCATGTCACTCTCCACGTGTCGCCCCCACCACATGGCACGTATCATTATGTCACCAATTTATATTTTCATTTTGAAAGTTGTCTTCTCTAAGGTTTGAACACATGACCTCCTTCTTTTGTGTCCAACCATCTTGCCACTAAACTAGAATGAACTTGTAATCTATTATTGCATAATTACATATATATACACAAACACACACACACACATATTATTAAACTATACAAACACACATATATATAATATTAAATATTATAAAATATCATTACTATCCTTAAATACTTCAATTTAATTCTTTTAATTTATAAAATTACAAATTATATTATTTATTTTGTTTAAATTAAAATATAAATATAATTGATACAATATCATTTGTATTATTTATTTTAATTTTTTTACTTCTTGAGGTTGTTATATTATTTATTTTAATATTTATATTTATAATTATGATATAAAAAATATCTAAGAATAAATAGTAAAAATACTAATGATTATACAATAGTTTATAATTATTTATATTTCTAAACTGGCATCGAGTTTTAAAGTTACTGGTGTTAAATATAGAATTTGAATTAAAATATTAGATTAGATGAAATATCATTCTATGAATGAATAAATTTAAGTATCACATGGTTAATTATTATAAACAAGTAATGTTATTGGCTTCTACGTTGATTCGATGACTTATACTTTCTCTCTCTTCTCTTCTATCTTGAATATTTAAGATTATTCACTTATTAGTTATAATTTTAAATTTAATTCATTTTAGTTATTAATTAGTCAAAAATATATATTAAAAATTTCATGCTTATTTTGACCATTAAACATCTCAATTGTCTTTTAAATAAAATTATCCAAATAAATTTCAGTTTATCTAACTGATTTTTAAAAAAAATATATCTAAACATAAATCATATTACATTTACTGACTTTTCTTCTAACTTTAGTTTGCTAACCTCGATTAAATGTTAACCTCAGTTGTAAATTTTTTAATACAAACACATATGTAAAATAATATGGTTTGGCTTACTTCCTTACTATAGCTCATTAGCATTAAATAATATTTTAACCTTATTTTAAAGTTATAATTTAACTATAGAATATATTAAATGAAAACTCATTATGTTATTTAATATATTCATTATAAAATTACAATAATACAACAAAATTAATGTTTTAAAATATTAAATATTAGATAAATAAAAATAAAAAATTATGAGAAAATCAAACTTCCAACGACGACATTCAAAGTCTCCGTTAAAAGTCTCATTTTCAGCGGCGACACTAAGTGGTGATTCATATGTCGCCATTGAAACTTACAACATAAGTTTTTTAAAAAAATTATATCATATTTTAAAATATATTGACAATCAACGGTGACATTAAAAAGTCGCCACTGATTCTTAACTTTCAATAAGTCATCGCTGAAACTTACAACATAAGTTTTTTTTAATTATAATATATTTTAAAATATGTTGACAAATAGCGGCGACTTTTTAATCTCGCCGCTGATTCTCAACTTTCAGTGACGACTCATATGTTGCCGCTGAAACTAAGACCTTCGGCGGCGACATACACTTGTCACCACTGAAAGTCACTATTTCAGCAACGACTTCAAATGTCACCACAGAAAGTCACACTTTTACTGTTACTACAGATTGTTCATTTTCAGCGGCAACTTTTTAGAGTCGCCATTGAAAATCATTTTTTTGTAGTGATTGTATTGAGAATTCGTAGATATCGTGTTATGCATACATGGACATTATATTGAGACAAGAGCAAATGTGTCTTTTCATCCATAACAAAATTTGCAAAAAAAAAAAAAACCCTCAAGCTTGCAGTGTGCTTTCAAATTTTATTGGGTCCTAAATGCAAACTTTTGTATTCTGGGGGCCTTAAGTGATATTTTCCTTTTTTTTTAAGGCTTGGTGATTTATGAATTAGAATCTTCACGAGGAGATCGAAGGCAAAAGGGGCGGGGGGGAACGGATGCTGCATATTACATTTGTTGATATATGTTATTGCTTCGTATGCTTGTATATTATTGGTTGCTGTTTTGGATTCTGGAAAAACTGGTTTGGGGCTGCTTTTATATATATATATATATATATATATATATTCAAAAAGTGGAGTATAATATGGCATGGTTCTTGAAGCTAATGTTTTCCTTTTCCTTTTCAGTACGATATTCATTATTCAACGTGGAGGACACTAATTAGATAAGCCGCCCATATTCTTCTGATTAGGTCATGAAATACATGTAAAAATATGCCCGAAAACATACGCAGTTGGGAGAAGGAATAGGGAAACGCCAAGAGCATTTGATTAGATACTTTGTACACGGCAAGATTTGGTTAATAATTTGAAAATTGCGAGATAAAATCGGATAGAAGAATTAATGAAGTGAGTATTGGAGGGGAAACAAAAAACCAAGAGGAAACGAAGAAGGAAGCCGCGAGGGAGAGAGGCCTTCCTCTGTGATTCACTCTTTGCGGTGAAGGTAGGAAGAGAGAACGATTATAGCGAGAGCAGCTTGAAAAATCAGAAGGCAAGAACACGAGAAAATGATGAAAGAGAAAAGATCCAAAAAAAAAAAGTGAATCTTGCAGTGTTAAATTATTTTAAATATTTAATTTAAATTTTGGGGAAAAAATCAATTTTATTGATATATGTGATCAGATTTAAAATTTAAAAAAAAATACAACTTTGGATCTCTATAGTTTTAACATGTTTTGTTGTTAATCCATATATCTTTTTTATTGCTTCAGGTTCTTATAGTTTTTCTTATTTATAGTATTAGTCCCTCTATTTTGAAAAAATGTTAAATTATCTAGTGTGCAACTAACATCATTTCAATTGCGTGTCAAATAAAGGTTAGATTTTATTTTATTCATACTTCAAACCCGTCTCCTCTACTTTAGTTTTCTATGTCATACCAAGATACTTTGTTTTATTTTTTTTCCTTAATTTTGAAGCCATTGATTTTTATGTTTTGATTTTTTGCCAATATTGATATTGGAATTTATTTTGTCTTCGTACGTATAGACTGACAGTCTTTTTTTCAGTCTTCATTACTCTATCTTGTGATTGCTCTCTCTTTCTTTCCTTATTTTGACATTCAACAAAAGATTTAACATCATTAGTGCTGGGGACTAACATTGTAATAGATGAGAAAAATTATAGGAATGTAGAGCAAAAAACAAAAACAAAATATAGGAACCAATATAAAACACGATAAAACTATAAAATTAATAGTCATATTTTCCCACAATTTAAAATAAGTTCACCCCCAACATCTTGTTGAAATCCCTTACCAACAAGATGAGCTTTGTTGCGATCTGAGGTTCCATCTGCTTTGTATTGTTTCTTTTTGAATACCCATCTACATTCAACAATCTTCTGGTTTGGTTGCCATGGAACAAGTTTCTACGCGCCATTTTGAATGAGTGCATCATACTCAGATTGCGTGGCAACATGACAATCAGGTCATTTGAGAGCGTTGGCCACGTTCGTTGGCTCTCTTGAATCATGTAAAATAACTCCAATAGAAAGGCCCTTTGGTTTGAAGATAACACTCTTAGATCGAGTTACTATGTGATGACCCGATGGTTGAGGAGTGTCGCTTGTGAT